AAAAAACTCTCGTGAGTACCAAAATTCGACGTTAGCACCGTTGACGAGGGAAAGGGACGGCTTGACCCTTCTCGCGATAAAGTAAAATTCAGCACGCACCGCAGGAGGAAGGTGGGGCATGAGAATAAATAGAAGAAATAAAGCCCTGGTGTTTACCCCCTCCTGTGTGACTCTGGATGGTTGTAGTTGTACGAAAAAATACACTGAAACAGTGTAGAACTCTACATACGCTGAAAAGTGTAGCACACGTTTCACCACGAAAAATGGGGGGACTGCCGCCATAATAAATAGGACGAAAACACACACATAACACGCACCAGCTAGACATTGCACCGGTCGCCCCAGTGGTCTAGTGGTATCCTTAGTGCTGCGCGCAGCAAAAAAAAAAGTTTGACGTACGTAAGTGCCAATTCGCACTCTACGGTGCCATACACGCAAACAGCAGAGCCACCCTTCCAAGACGAAGCACGATGGCTGTAGATATCTCCAATAGCTAGCGACGGACCCAAGTCGTATGAAATTCCATACACCACAGCGCTAGAACTTACCAGTGAAATACCTCAAGTCGGCCCAAAAAAAATATGGAAAAGCATAGTCTAGTCTAAGAGCCCTCAAAGACGCGGCGGAACCTCGAGCGAGCCGACGACACATCCCCGTGGTGAATACGAGAACGCGCTTCATACGTTGCCAATTGGCACGAAACTTGGCACGAAGGCGAACTGTTGGGTAGAGAGCAAGATGAAAAACTCTTGTAGTAATTAGTTGCGCGTAGGCGGCGGGGAGGACATATTTTTTAGCTGAAAAATGGCATCCACGCGGTGGCGTCATGCTTAGGTGTCTCAAGTCTGTTTACCTCAGGATGTCTCGCATCTTGTAGCTGCCTCTTTTGCGGATGCATATCACTTTGAATTAGGATGTACCATGTTGTATAGGTTGAGTACGCGTAATCGGCGCGCACCCTTTTGAACTGGAACCCAATTGCTGTACGGTGGTGTTGCACCGCGAAACTGCGGGATACCGTATATGACATAAGATAATACACCCCCTGGACCGATTTTCAAAGCTCGATTACACTACGACGAAGAGAATGCATAAACGAAACGATACATTTTCGAAAGGCTCTCGACGAGACGTTTTCAACGCCGCCGTTATCGGCGCTGTGACTGTTCCTGCAGTTGAGAAATCGAGCTTCGAAAATTGGTCAAGGGGGTGTTTTATCTTGTGTCACATACGGTAACGGTAACCAATCAGAGAGCCCGTTCATCACGCTTCTTTCGCGATCATTATTTCTTTTTACCGCGTTCTGGTTTGAGTGAGAGGCCAAAAAAAACTAGGGATGATTCCTGATCCCTGGCGACAAAGGAACCCGTTGGTGATCACTTCTTTTCCCTGAAATGAACGAAGTCCTCCCAACGTTAGTTGTGGGCGTATCGCCCGCAGGGCGCACGCATTTTTTCGCATAAAAATGTGGCAGGGCGAGGTCCCGTGCTGTCGATGGAGAGCATTGCGTACGTGTGAAAGGGATAGGGTGGAACCAGACTTCCACCTCCGATTAAGCACACGGACGACGTTGCCGTAGAAGAAAGGCCGTTTATTGTCCAACGCTTTATTTGCCCTGGGTCGAGCAATATTTAACCAAATGTACAAGCAAGAATGCTCCTAACGTCAGCCCGATGGTATCTACGGTCAAATCACGATGTAGTCTACATCAGTCGGCGGCGCCAAAACTGACAACAAAAAACAAACATACAAAACTAACTCCAGCACTTCACACGCTGGTAGAAAGGTCGAACTACTGTAGACAGCAGTCCTCCCCTCAAAAAAATACAGCAGGTTCTTGACCATAGGGACTACACGAAAGAACTGCACACACACACACACTTGTACACCACAGACGCCCAGATAAGCCGAACTTTAACGAATGAAACAAAGGCAAGGGTCGCAGCAAAGAGGGCTAACGGTGGAGGTGCCACCTATCTATCCAGCAAGTGCGGTTCCCACCCACCCCACACGAGCACACCCTCTCCCCACACCCTATACTCCAAGGTCTCCTCCTTCTCCACCATGAGCCATTTCGCACGGAGGAACCTGTCGTCGTCACTGCCACCATTTCGTCACACGCAAGCAAAAGCGGCAAAACAAACAACGGAAAGTGCACGCGGTAAACAAGGGGTCGGTTTGTGTGGACTAAGGTCACCTGGGTGGGATTTAGGTCGGCGTTCCAAGCCCCGTAGTGCGTGCTAACATAATGAAATTGGACTACAAACCCAGTCCATGCCCCACCCCCAGGTTATGGTCGAGAAGTTGGTAAATACGCACGGAACCAGATACACACCTCAAGATGGCCGTTGAACCCTCAAAACCAGTCAGCTCCCGTCGCCCCCCATGGACCTTCGACTCCCTCCGCGTTCCCCCACCCTACATCCGGCCCGCCATTCGACATGTCTGATCCCCAGTCGCTGAAGGCATCGCTATAGGCGGACTCATCGGACTCCCACTCGGGAATTTCATCCCGCGCTTCGTTTTCCTTCTCCTCATCCTTCGCTTCGGTCCCTCTCGAACCATCCGGCGCATCTGCCTGCTGACTAGCGGCTGCCTGCTGCCTAGCGGCCGCCTGTGCGGCCGCCTGCTGACTCGCGGCTCTTGCCGCCAAAAGATAACGCAGGGCTCCGGCTACGATGGCAGATGTTGCAAGAATGGAAGCTGTAGCAGGTACGGAAGATGTAGCAGGAACGGAACGTGTAGCAGGAACAGTGGACGCAGCAGGAACGCTGGATGTAGCAGCAGCGATCCGAGCCTCAGGTTCCGATGCTCGAATCAGTTCACAGGTAGCCCTGCACACGCATGCCAGCGAGCATTTCCTTCCCGCTTTTCGACAGCAGCACCTCACGCAGAGACTCTTCTTACCCGGGGCCGGTTTGCACTCACATTTCTCCGTTTGCGTGTTGTTGTCGGTGCCAACGAAAGAATCCTCAGACAGCCATAGCACGCAGTTTCCGCTGTCATGTGCCCCGAGCTGGTCCCCCCCTCTTTCGGGTCGACCCCCCATCCCTTGCCGTTGAAGTCTCGTACTGGTACCACCTCTAAATAGCCGTCTTGCCAGTACCCAAGCACCTGACGGCCTCGCTCGCTCTTCTGGCGCATGGACTCGAACGCAGGGCACGTTGACGTAGCCCATTTTGAAGTACGCCTGAGGATAAGCAACCGGATGACGTCGACGTAATGTGCGACATCGCCGTCGACCATACGGAGAATCCAGCCGGGCTCCTGTCCACCACGAGCAAAGACAGCTTCATACTTAAAGTAGAATATGGTCGCCAACAACTTGATGCACTCGTCGATCTTGACGCCCCATACACCACCCTCACGCACGAAGATAGACGTCCGAAACACACCCTCCGTCCGCACGCTCTTCAGAGCAAGAGCCCACATGGTCCCGAAAGGTAGACCCGGTATGGCAGGCAGGAAGTCGCAACCAGCAAGCAGGTAGGTAGACAAGGACGAAAAGGCGTACCTTCTCATCGTCGTCGGGAATCCAACCCTGGAAACCGGAGTCCGTCGTGGGCCACGCAGATTCGTTGCCGTCCCTGAGGCCCTGATGGCGGCGAACACCCTGTTTACCCATATGTACTTCGGGTCACCACCCACAACCTTCTGCACAGTCACTTCAACCGCCCCCTCTCCACTGGCCGTCAGGAACCCCGTACTCACCGCCAGAAAAATGAACATCCATTGGTTCGTGTCCACCGAAGTAACCAGCCAGTTTTCGAAATTCCGTCCCCATTACTTTTTGGCCCACACGATGAAGTGGACGAGAGACAGCTCGGCTTCGCCGATGTTGGGGCCACGTTCTCGTTGTACCGAACGGTCCGCGCCCCTTCGGTAGTGAAGAAGAGGGTCCTCTTCCGCAACCGTTGGCACTCCACCCTCCTCGGTCCCGTCCCCGCCAGAGCGCACGGTGCTGTTTTCGACGCTGCCGACCGGCGCCGGTATCTCTGGTGACGTGGCCGGTCCTCCCTGTACGCCCCCCCCGGAGCTGACCGCGGGGTTAGCGGCATCAGATGTTCTCAAACCAGCCTCACCTCCGACACCGTAAAATGCCACGACTCCGTTGGGAGTGCAGTATCCAGTCCACCTCTTGTCGAGTATGTCCATGGCGAGGTGCGCGGCGATACCATCTCGCGCTGCCTTCTGGTTGTCACGAAGGCATGACTGGTATTGCGACGGGGGAATGGCGTCCGTCGATGTCGGGTCGAGCGAGAGAGCGCATCCCCCAATCTTGTCCGGCCTTCCCGACTGCTCGCGTCCTTTGATTGCGGGGACAAGTGGAGCACGGTCGAAGCACACCAGGAGCAGATCCGCTCCCATCCGCCACTTCGAATCCAACTCGCTCACGAAGTAGTTGATAACCCCCTCTGCCCCACCCTCCAAGTCCCGTTGCCTCACCCCTTGCTGTATTGACCAAGGCAGATCCACTCCGTGGGCATGCACGGTGTAAAACGGCTCGTCGGCGACGGCGTCGGAGCTGTGATCTGGAGCCACTTCGTCGGGCCTGCGGATTTGTTGGCATGTTTAGCCCCTGTATCATTATTTGGTCAGTACACGCGATGGACATGGGGGAAGGGATTGGGCAGGGGGGGGGAGGGTGGCGTTGGCGGTGCGAGGGGTTGGTGCGTGGCTTCGCAGTTTTTTAAGTGGTAGTTTTCACCAAAAAATAAAAAGTAGGGGCTCTGATCATTACGTTAGAATATCGCTACACGTAGAAGGTAGTTCTGGAAAATGAGCAGAAAAAAGAATACAGAACCACGCGGTGCAGGGACGCATATGTATGATTGGTCCTTTGGAAATAGTCTCATGGTGCAAGCAACGTACTATCACCGTTCCGATAGCCGGAGCTGAAGATCACTGACAACGGTCGATCCGCACCGTTAGCTTCGGTATTGCAACAACGCAAACGTCTTTTTGTCGTCAATCTGCGGTCGTGGTAACGATACACCGCTATCGATTCGTGGGTCAAGTGATTATAGTATTGCAAAAAATAAAATGGGTGCCCTCTTTCTCTATCACAACCTCTCTCCCTTCCCCCCTAGCCCCTCCTCTCTCCCGCCTTCATGAGTCCATTGAGATATATCCCTCACCTCCGGTAGCATTTGCCATGCTAAATGGCGTCGATGCTCCAACCCTCGTCACCATGCCCACCACTTGTTCCTCGGACAACGACCCCCCCCCTTCGACCATGTCCCAGATGTTCAGGACCACCGCCTTCATCTCTTGCCCCCCCGCGCAGGCGTTGCCAACTGTATCCTTCAGCTTTGACGACCTCCCCTTGCTCCTCGTCGACTTGTTCTCTGTGTTAAAAGCCGGGATGGAGAATAACTTCTTTTTGGTCGTTCTCTTCTTCGTCTTGTCCTTCTTGACGGAGAACAAGACTCCCGAATCTTCTCTGACGCCGTTGCCGGGGCACCGAGAATCTCTTGCCACTTTGCCTCTGGAAACACCCTCCCGTCCAAGGCCACGACCTTCCCCTTGCCTAAGTCGCCCTCAAATAATGGGCTGGCTCGCAAGCATTAGACTGCTTTCTTGACCGCAGGCGCACGCAGTAAAGCCAGCTCCCGGCATCTATCCCGTTCCGTACGTGGTCCTTCGAGGAATTCCCGCTCAAACTCAAATTCAACTATCTCTCGAAGCACCGCAGTCGGGGCTAGCTTGTGGATGAAACTCGGAAGTATCCACTTCGTCAAGGTCTTGTACATACGATTAGCAACCTCCTGCCTCTCATCCAAACCAAGCCGGGCACACGCATCCTTGCTGAGGGAGACGGAAAATAGCTCGGCAATCACCTTCAGATCCGACTCCGACATCGTTGACATCTCCGCAAGGTGATCCACCACCAGGAATTGGTATCGGTCCTTACCGGTGATATAGAAAATGGGAGCGATACGGCGAAGTGCGTCAAGCCGCAGCATGAAATCTCCCGTGCGAAGCGCTGTCCGGAAGGTCACGTAGGCAGGGAAGTCGTGCAAGAGGAACTGCTCCCATAGGGCGAAAGTCTTGTGCTTTGCCGCTCGCTTCTTGATCCACGCAACCACCATGCTGTCGGCATCCTCCGCCGTCATATCCCCCCTAGTGGAAGCCCTGGTGGAAGGCACATCTTCGGACATAAAGACATAAGTGCTTCCTACATCACGACGAGATGGTGGTGTGCCCGTCGGTAGTTGCTCCCCTCGCTTGACTTGCTGTTGTCCGTGCCCAAATCCTTCGCCACGAACTCTACGCCAGCCCCCCAATACCGCTTGAGAAGAGCCTTCGCCACGTGCAAGTGGAGGTGCCAATCACCCGGGTACCGACGAAATTGACGATATGCGACGCGCTCTTGCTTCTGGATGTGGTACAAGACGCGATACGTCTCCTCGTCCCCGGCGATGATACACGGCGCGCCGTCCTTGCCGGCGACCGTACCACGCCATATCCGGAGGATGCAGTCGATGGCCGCCTTGTTATCGGTGAATTTTTTTGTACTCTCTAGTTGGATGAACACGTACCGGCCGTCGAGAGTAGCTCTCTCCTCCGGCGTTAGATCCTGTGTCGAAAAACGTGGTTGCGTAAGCGTATTTTTCGAACAGAAAATTCGAAGGGACGGAGGGACTAAGAAAGACAGAATAACATTTGCTTCGCCTCAACTATCGCCTTCGCATCAGCAATCCTTCAAACGACCCAGAGTAACCCAACAAAATTCAAGTTGAGCGATACAAAAATCAGCACCTTCCATTGTTTTGATTGCTCACCCCCCAAAAAAACATACAGCAATCAAGCGTTGCAAGGTGTCTACTTCTTCTGTTACGGTCCCGCGTTTCCTGCATTATCCTCAAAGGGTACAAACGTTTTTGGAAATTGACGACTCACATCCTAACGGAAAGGTTGCCTTACAGCACCACACCACACCACACCACACCACACCAACCAACCTTTCGGAGTTGAGCCTCCACACACCACAGCGGCCCGTCCGGTGTCGAACCTAACGACGCGCTCTCGTAAACGGCACGTCGGAGCTGTGACTGGAAGGCTTCGAACCGCCGCTCGCCCCCCTGTGCATTTGGCCCCTTCATCACGTCGTCCAAGGTCAGGAGGCTATACCGCTTCAACCTCGAGGCGTCTTCGAGTTTACCCACCGACCCCCCCACCGTGACGACCGAAGCCGCGATCGTTGACAGATGAGGCTCCCCCTGGCTAACTCCAACCACGGGTTTCATGTCACAGTTGTCGAACGGAAACGCACCACAGGTGGCATCCTTCGGGAGCTTATCGCCGTCCTCCACGACCTTCGCATTGAAATCCTCTCGATGCCGTACTTGTCTATCCGTCGCCCACATGCCATGGGCCGCGCAGAAGTCGACCACCACCCGAGGGGTACCTTTCGACTTGGCCCACTGAGCCGCTTTGATATGATGCGAAGCCATGTACCGTGGGCCTAAAACGGCTTTTACCACGCCCGTACATATCATCACAAGCCGCCGACCTACATGACGGTTGGCCTTGTCGATCTCCTCAGCGTCTTTTTCAGAAGTAGGTTGTACAGACGGCCCCCCTGATGACCCCGGCCCCCGCCCCTCGACGGAGGTACCGAGAGATGATGCCTGGCCTCTGTCGACTCCGCTCGTGTCTGCCCGTCTCGACTCGACGCCTCCGTCGCCGTTGTCGCGACGCCGATGGACATCGCGCCAGCCGGCCTCCCACACCCAGCCAGGTCCCCAACCCGTGGGGGTTAGGGAGCTGACTTCGCGGCACAAAGGCTGGTTTATTAACCTCTGGAAAAAATTGTGCTTCGCTCCACTAGGGGGTACGTTCTTGAGGCTTGACTGCTGCTCGATGTCTGTCCGGACGATCGCCCCTGCTGCCTTGGCCACCGCCATCCTCGCGTGTCTATCCGCTACGTCCTCGATCACCCGCTCCAGCTCTACGTCAAGATGCGACTCTCGCCCCTCCGAGCTGTCGGGCTCGTGCGCGGCGGGGTCTCTCCTCTTCCGAGCCTGGACGAGGTGCCCAACGACAACCTCGTCCCGAAGGTTGCGTGGGAAGAGACAGAGATGTCTCTCGCGTGCGTCCTCTCCCCCATGGTTTTCTTTTTCGGGACAGACCACCCGCGATATACTCCCGGGAGAATCGGCGATGCTGTTGCACATCGTACGCACGATCTTTCGTGTGTACGGCATACAACAGTTTTTATCGCCAGCCCTCGCGCGTTCAGCTGATAGCCACCCCGCCGCGTCCTTCCAGTACACGATCTCCCCCTGCCCAACCGCTTCCTCCACCCTAGAACGCACCTTTTCCACAGCTCTTCGATCCACCGCCGCTTGGCCAGAGACTTCAACAGCGCTTGGGGGCCGTGGTTGGAGTAACGCGGGCGCACCAGCCANTCCACCGCCGCTTGGCCAGAGACTTCAACAGCGCTTGGTGGCCGTGGTTTGAGTAACGCGGGCGCACCAGCCACTTCGGCCATGCGGCCGGGTGTCTCTTGCAACGAAGTGAGGGCGGTGACAGGCTCGGCTCCACTTTCGACTTGCGGTTGAGATGAGTTGTCCACTACCACCTGCCTCCTGCGACGCCGAGGTGACAGGAACACTATCAGGTACGCTACCGGATGGGGTTGGCGACGAGGTGGTGGGAGCGACGACATCGGGTCGATTACCGGCTGGCGTTTGCGATGCTGACGTGGACCTCCTGTTCTCATTCCGCATATAGCAGGCGTGGCAACGCAAGGAAGCCTCACGCGAGGACCCCCTCCCGTCCTTGTCGTCTACCGCGGGGTGCCATCTCCTTCCCTTGACCGGGAAAGTTTGCTTGCACTCGTCGCACTTCCTCTTCAACCTCGTCCTGGCGCCCTGAACAACGAAGTGGTGGAAGCAATCTTCGCGTTGGCAGAGGCAATGACTACAGTCCGGACGATACCCATGCACGACGCTCCCGGGTAGAGTCGTCATTCTGGCGCAGATATCTCTAGCCGTAGAAATGCGACTGACGATGTGCGTGAAGCCTTTCTCATCTACCCACCTGTGACATGCAGCACACAGTTTCTCTCNTCGTCATTCTGGCGCAGATATCTCTAGCCGTAGAAATGCGACTGACGATGTGCGTGAAGCCTTTCTCATCTACCGACCTGTGACATGCCGCACACAGTTTCTCTCTTGCCAAATGCTCCCCCCGTGAGCACAGATGACATGGCTCGCCGGGAGTGGTGGTGACCCAACCGCATTCCTGGCGCCCGCAGGCCTCTGCGCGTGGCTTCCTTTCTCTTTTGCTTCCGTCACTACCGGCAACTGCTCGTGGTCTCTTCCCATCTTGAACTTGCCGCCGAGAACGAATTCCCGCGGTAGTGCACGCCGTGTTGTCACGCTCAGCCTCGGCGATCTTACGTTCCTTGCGGACCTTTGTTTTCGCCTTCGCCATCGACTGCTGCTCCTTGTAGTCCATATCTGCAATCCTCTGCTGCAACTGCGGTTGTAGTAGAGCCAAAGAACGTCTTGCCTTAACCCTCGCCTGACGCTTCTTCCCTGATCTTCGCCCCGAACCTTTCGACCGCGCGCCTGAATCTTGCGCCTGGCGCTTCGCTCTACTTGGCCTCGGTGTCTGTACTTCCCCCCCCAGCGTTCCCGCGACGTCGCGTTCCCTCTTCGTTGCCTCTCGCAGCAGTTGGAGAGGATAGGTCCTCCGTCCGCTGGCCAGCGGCCGGATGCCGCGGGGACACGGGCGGTGTGTAACCCCCCATCGCCGGGGGGAACAGAACAGGGGGGTGCAGCGCACCACGTCTTCTGTCCCGGTTAGCCATGGGTCTGCGTGATTGCAGACGATCATGAAACCACCCTGAAATCGAGGTAGGGTATCGTCACGCAAAAGAAACGAAAATTGGTCAGTGGTCAGTATCCAAGTTTGTAAAACAGCGGTGCTCTTCTTCGTAGTGCCGCCTCGAACTGTCGGTGACAGTTTCCAGATCAACGTGTTCAATTCTAGTGTTTTCCTTTGACATGTGGCCAGGACGAATGGGTACGCCGAACCACACATATGACGAAACGTGGGTGGCAGTAGCATTCGGAACGGATCGAATACTGGACATGGAAGATTGGGCACCGTTTCGTAGTATGCTAGTGCTCCAGATGCAACATGCACTTATATCATGGTTTTGCGTTGTTGGGGCCTGCTTGCGATGTGCATTGCGCTAGGCCGCGCAGGTAGGTTGTCCATGGGGGTCGTCTGAGTTTATTGCGGACCGGCAGGACCGCGTTGTCATGTTGTCATGATGCCCAGGCGAGAGGTCAGCCGGCGCTCGGGAGTCGTTCCAGTGGTGTCTAACTGTCGATTTCGCAAGCATGTCCCATGCAATGGGGCTGACCAGCATCATTCCAGCTACAGCAGTAATTTTGCTTAACTACTCCGTTGATCTCCTGCAACCTTTCAGATAAGTCTACTGCTGGCCCAAGCGGTTGTGACAGGCACGACGGCCTTCATCGGTGACAAAGCCAGGGTCGCGGCCGTGTCAGCCTGGAGAACCAGATCAAGCGACACGTCGCGAAAGCCAGCGAGGGGGCCGCCACCACCATTGGAGCAAGGCTTCGGAAACTCCAGTACGGTGTTCTCGACGTCACGGCGTTCGCCCTCAGGGACACACGTCAGGAGGTCAGGACATGCGGAGCTTGTACACAAAAGATGTTGAAAAAATTCCGCTTTGTACCTTCGATCGGCGTCCGGCAGAAAATGTACTCCCGCACGAGCGTGCGTACTTTTTGTTGTCGATCTTGAGCACGCCTGAGAGAGTGTGCACCACCGTTTAGAAAGACGTTGCGTGCATCCGCTTCTCTGATGAGAAGAAATGTCTTCCGTTGTACACGACGTCGTTCCGCACGTTGTTACCCGCTCTGCTCCCGCTAACGGTTCCTCGTTTCACGTCATCCATCGGCACGAACGAACCAACCCCAGGACTGGAAGCTATTAAGGGTACCCCCTAACCCCGGCCCACACCGACCTTCGCGATACCGAGATCGCAACAAGCGCAGACAGAAGCTAACCTGCAGAATTTCTCCCGAATGAGTTTCGAAGCGGACCTGTCACGCAGCACCTGGTGAGTTGACTATTTTCGGGTCCCAAGTCACAACACAGTTTTGCGTTTTGCCACGACTGCTGTATGGAGCAGAGCAGCGCCCAACAACATGTGATCCAAATGATGGCGTCTCGTGATCGTTTTAGATTCTCTTGAACGAGACGTTCATTCTGGGTGCCTGTCTCAACGCGCCACACGGACGGATAAACCTTCACCAAGGGCCTTGTCTCACTTAAGTGGCGTTCAGTAAGCCACGTCCCTCGAGGTATTGTGTTGACCGCAACACGATCAGGTAGATGCGGACGCTCGCATAGTTGTTTCCGTCCCCCGAGTTCCAACGTTGACTCCTCATCCCAGAGACAGATGCCAATTGTTTTTCGAGTCTTGGAAATGGGGGCTGGATTTGACGTGTTCACGAATCTATTTTTTCTGCAGGCGAAGCCTCGTCATTTCTTCCCCTCCTTCCATCATCATTCTCATCCTGGCCGTGCAAAAACTTGTGAAGTTGAGGAGACCGACGACCTGACCCATTGACTCTCCCTTCTTCCCCTCGCTCCTCGACAAGCTTTTGCTTAGACATGGGTTGTAGTGAAGGGGGGGGTCTTTCTGGCGAGCAGGGCTAGACTCACCCTCAAGGGATGACCGAAACCTTCTTGCTGCTGCGCATATCCGCCGCGAGGCATGCGCGTGGTG